CACGTGTGTGCAGGTGTGTGTGCATGCCCGTGCACATCTGTCTGTTTAAATAGCCTTCCTTCTACAGCCCTGTCAAACATCATGCCCAACATTGTCCACATGCGACAAAACTAACTCCAGAATAAACAGACTAAACAAATAAACTGAAAAAATCTTACAGCTAGTAAAGATGATTATGTACAGCTCTTTTAAATACAGCTATATTCAATATACTCACTAACGAAATTATTATTCGCCAAAAGTTAAATTTTTCCCTCAATGGGAGGTTCCAAATTCTCCCAACAGCAAACTCTACCAAGTTGTCAAGGCATTTATCAGTCTGAGCATGAGTGTACTTCACAGAGAGCAGCAAGGAGGGCACACACCGGCTCTCATGTCATGAAGTTCGGGTACCTTGGATTCCAAAACCGGATGAGAAGCTGAGGGGGAAAAAGCCACGGAGAAAGAAAAGAAAAGCAAGAAAGAAAAAGTTTGTTTTGCTCACAAATTTAAATACGGAATCTCTAAGTCAAATATTAGCATATGAAATTCCATGATGTTTAAGGGAAGAAAAGACTGTGTATCATGACCCAGATGGGTTTATTCCAGGTGTGCGGGGTGTTTTAGAAATATTAGAAGGGTTTTAAATGTCATTTGCTGTGTGAAGAGTCAAGGGGAAGAGAATCATCATCACAGGAGATGCAGAAAAAGCATCAGGTAAAATTCTACACCTGCGCCAAACCAAAATTTTGGTAAAATAGGAACAGAGAGAACTTTCTTATTCTGATGAAAGATATCTACCAAAAAACTGCAGTAAGCCTATTCTTAATGGTGACATATTAGAAGGACTCCCTTTAAGATCGGGGAAGAATAAGGGCTCTTATAATTCACGTTCTGTTCAGTTCTTGCTCTCCTGGCCTATGGAGTAAGAGACGTAAGGAAGTAAAAGTGTAAGAATTCGAATGGAAACCATAAAACTCTTACTATTCTCAGATGATGTGACTGTCTGCAATAAAAAGAAAATTTAATGAAAGTACTAAAAGAACACAACAAAATCTCTAGATACGCATTTTTAAGGTTTTACATATACAATAAATGGTACATGTAATTTTTTTAGAGGGGGGAGAGGCAGAAGGAGAGGGAACGAGAATCCCCAAGCGAAATCCATGCTCAGGATGGAACCGATTCGAGAGCAAGACCTGAGCCAACATCAAGAGGGACGCTTAACTGACTGAGCTGCCTAGGCATGTCAGCACATGGAATTCTTAAACTTTATGCAGTATTGTAAGTAGTGTATTTTTTTACAGTATTGTAATTTTATTTTATTTTTTTTTAAAGATTTTATTTATTTATTTGACAGAGTCACATCAAGAGAGGGAACACAAGCAGGGAGAGAGGGAGAAGCAGGCTTCCCGCGGAGCAGGGAGCCCGATGCGGGACTCGATCCCAGGACCCTGGGATCATGACCTGAGCCGAAGGCAGACACGTAACGACTGAGCCACCCAGGCGCCCCTGTATTGTAATTTTATACAGTTTGTAATATTTGTACAATTTTACAGTATTGTAAATTGTAAATAAAGAAATACCCTTTACAATAGCAGAATAAGACATAAGGTTACAACAAATAAAGGTATCAAAAGTTGTGCAGAAGGGCGCCTGGGTGGCTCAGTCGTTAAGCGTCTGCCTTCGGCTCAGGTCATGATCCCAGTGTCGTGGGATCGAGCCCTGCATCGGGCTCCCTGCTCTGCAGGAAGCCTGCTTCTCCCTCTCCCACTCCCTCTGCTTGTGTTCCCTCTCTCGCTGTGTCTCTCTCTGTCAAATAAATAAATAAAATCTTTAAAAAAAAAGTTGTGCAGATTCTTGAGGGGAAAACAGACAATGTTTTGGAAGCCATTCCAGCAGTCCTCACTGAATGGAAGGGTATGCTGTGTTCGTGGAGAGGGAGACTGAGCATCAGAGCCCAGTGCCACCCTAATAAATATCCTGGTTGGGTATTTTTGTGGCACTTGGTGAAGCTGAGCCTAATATTTACATGGGCCCAGAATAGCCAAGGAAAAAATCGAAGAACAACACGGTGGGCTTGTGCCCCATCCAACATCGATGTGCAGGTGAAGTCAGTACAGCTCAAGCAGGATGCAGTGGAGCGGAGACCCAGAGGGGACAGCCTAGAAGCAGCCCACAATTACCTGGATTCCCGTCACTGCTAGTTATGTAACTTTTATGATCCAGTGCCGAGTTATCAGAGGCAAACCAGCTAACACAAAAATGAACAAAGAGTTTTTCACCCGAAGGAAACAGCAGGGGGCGCTGGACAAGCGCAGTGTTACTCCACATCATTAGAAATCAGAAATGCACATTAAAGTCCCTCCAGAAACATTGTCGGTTGCGTCAGATGAAGACCCTCCGCACTGCCTGCTGACCAGGACGTGGAGCCGTAGGAGCTTGAGGGCCACACGGCCTCAGACGCTGCCCTGGCCCTGCCTGCCCTGTTCCCATTCCACAGCGGGACGTGTGTCCGAGGGGCCGTCCTCCAGGGCACCGCGGGGCTCCGGGGCGGCGTGGTCTGTCTCACAATGAGCCACAACCAAGAGGAGAGTGGACAGACTCCGCTCTGCTGGTGGGGCCGTCCAGCGAGGTGGCAAAGTGAGCAAGATCTACACGGAAGACCGGGTCGGAAGCTCAGGAGTATAGTTTGGAGAAAAATACAGAGAACGATGTCATTTATCTTTAAACAGCTTCTGTTTGTGTTATGTTTAGAAACGTTCGGGGGGCGCCTGGGTGGCTCCATCGGGGACTCTTGATTTCGGCTCAGGTCATGATCTCAGGGTCGTGAGATCGAGCCCCGTGTCGGGCTTCACGCTGAGCCTGGAGTCTGCGCGAGGATTCTCTCTCTCCCTCTGGCCCTTCCCATGCTCTCTCTCTTTTCTCCCTCTCAGTGCTCTCTGTGTGTGTGTGTCTCTAAAATAAATAAATAAATCTCAAAAAAAAAAAAAAAAAGGAAAGAAAGAAACCTGCAAAACAATACCATAGATTATGTAGGAAATTGTAGGGAAGATTCTGTAGAACTCCGTGGGAGTGGTAGAGCCAAATGTGGCCGCATGGCCTCCTCCCGGGTGTGGCGAGGGGATGGACACACAGATTTAACTGTATGCGGGCTCTGTTTCTTCAACAGTGAGGTGGATATATTATAATGTATACCCCTTTGCGGGACTTCAGCATTGCACAAATGTTTGGATTACAAAGACACGCACTTTGGGAAGGGGAACGCGGTCTTCATTTATGAAGGACGGAGTTCTACTTCGAGTCAGAAGTATTTCTACCCTGTTCTTTCTGTCTCTCTCTAAGGCTACGTGCAGAGCCTTCCCCAGTTCAGGGAGACAAAAGGAGTCTCCTACAGGGCCTCCTCATGTGCTGCCTGGGATGCACCAGAATTCCTGCATTCACATGCATAAGGTCAGGTGTGATCCAGTTTTTTGCCCGAGGTCAAAGGCACAGCATGCACCAGACCCCTCACTACTGCTTACTGACGGAGTCTGTCTTTTAACCCTTTGTAGAAATAGCACTTAAATTACGTTTCCTGAATAAATCTGGCCCTTCTCCTGCCCCCTCACTGGTGAGCCACATCCTGCCACGCTATTTCGGTCCCCCTGGTTTTATCTTGCAGAGACTCATTCACGTAATATTTGCTTTCAAGCCTAAGCTACTGTCAGACTGACATTTCTTCTCCAGTTTGCCCTTAGGATAGTCTATTGGCCATAAAATTGCTTTGAGATGGTGTCCATGTTCGCCAAATGAGGCAGAGAGGCAATTATCCTAAAGCTCAGACCTCAAATCCCAGCCCAAATGCGAGTTTTGACCTGAGCTATCCCGGACCATCACTGCGTACTGGGTCTGAGGGCGGCTCGCGGTAGGACCGCCTTCATACCTTTAGCTTCTGTCCATCCCATGCGCACCAGTGATGCCTGTCAGTGGCCAGGTGCCAGGCCTGGCCGACAGAAGGGATATATGCTCACCTGCTGGGTTTCCTCTTCTGACATCCGTTCACTAGCTCTGCAGATACCAACCGGGCATCCCATAATGGGATTCCATTCTGACGCTAAATATCTGGAGTTAGCGCAAACCCCACAGGTAGACGGGCTCCGTCCCACAAGCCGTGGGTCCAAGGGTATCCGCGCTTCTGTCCAACTTCCTGTAAAGTGGGGGGTTCCCATGAACCCCCTGCTCCTTCAGATTTGGTAATTTGCTTGAATAGCTCATAGCACTCAGGAAAGCAACTCTCTTACATTTACTGGTTTATTTCTTTATTTTATTAAAAAAGATTTATTTATTTATTTGAGAGACGGCGCATGAGCGGGAGGAACAGAGGGAGAAGGACAAGCAGACTCCTCGCTGAGTGTGGAGCCCGGTGGGGGGCTCGATCTCACGACCCTGAGATCATGACCTGAGTCGAAACCAAGAGTCGGATGCTTAACTAACTGCACCACCCAGGTGCCCCATCTACTGATTTATTATAAAGGAAACAAATCGTTGGCCATTGGTCATTAACTCAACCTCAGTCCTCCCCCCTCCCCCTGATTTCCCAGAGACTGGAGGTAGGGCTCAGAGTCCCCACCCTCAAATCGACTTGGGTTTCCTGGCAACCAGCCCCCATCCTGCACCTCCCCAGGCGCCCCCCGTCACATTGGCCTACAAGAGCAATTCTTGCCCCCCCAGGGATTCCAAGGGTTTTAGCTGCTGTATGTCCGGAACCAGGGATGAAAAGCGCATATTTGTTTTTTTGTTAGACGGCCCCCTTGAGTGCTTGGAGTCCTGGAGATTAATGCTGTGCTGCAGTGGGGCCGGCGGGGGGCGGGTGGTGGGCACACAGATGAGGGACATGCTGACGGAGTGGGGTCCAGGGAAGGGTCTCAAAGCGGGTGGGTCTGATCTGAGCCAGCCGGAAGAGGGACCGGAGGGAAGGGCCGCGGGGGCCCATCTGGGGGCTTCCTCATTAAACCCCATCATTTGTTCTCTCAAACCAGGGTGAAAAAGAGAACAGACCTGATAGGAGCCTTTAAACTGGACCCTCTCTACCTGAAGCACGGCCATCAGGACTCAGGTACACCGGGGTCCTTGCTTTCTGCGATGTTCTGGTTTTGTTTTCATCAGAGCTGCATTTCTGCTGGGAGCCAGGAGGAAGGTTCGTGTCCACAGGGACCAGCTCCTGGGAGCCGCTTCCCCGGGGGGAAGGGTGCTGATGGGGCCTTGGGGACTGCCTCAGTGCAAGAGCCGGGGAGGGGCCCATGGGGCTGGAGGGGTCACGGCACAGCTCTCAGGGCGGGTGTGGACATGTCCTGTGTAGGACCTTTAAAAGCCTGACTTCCCTACTGTCTGTCTGAGTGTGCATCTGCTCACACCAATACCACCAGGGGGACATGGAGTGGGGCTGGGGGCCCCGGGGAGCGAAGCGAAAACCCAGTGACGCCCGGGCAGGATCGGCGTGTCCATGCACATTTCACCCGGTGGGTCCATAGACCTGCCCTCTGTGCCAGTCCCTGCTGGCGGGACCGGAGCCACCCCAGGCCTGCCTTCTGGCTGTGTGCTTCTCGATGACCGGGGCCAAGAGAGGACACGGCCAGGTGCTCGAGTTGAGGTGAGGAGCAGAACGTTCCCTGGCACAGAGAGATGCTGGAGCAGTTCCTAGAAAACACAGAATAGCTCATTTCGTATGGCTACTGTCCTAGGCCACAGCCAAACGCTAAACCCTAAGTTAGGACAGGCCAGGCTCCAAGTGGGTGGTGAGGGGGCGGAAATGTAGGTTCTTCTGAGATTCTTTTTTTTTTTTTTTTTAAAGATTTTATTTATTTATTTGAGAGAGAGAGAGCAAACACAAGCACGGAGGAGGGGCAGAGGGAGAGGGAGAAGCAGGCTTCCCGCTGAGCAAGGTGCCCGATGTGGGGCTCGATCCCAGGACCCTGAGATCATGACCTGAGCTAAAGCCAGATGCTTAACCGACTGAGCTACCCAGACGCCCCTCTGAGATTCTTACCAAAGAAATAAGAATTGGATATTTAGAAGAATGATCCCAGCAATACAAATTTTTTTTTTCTTTTGAAAGGCATGCAATGAAAATTTTCCAAACGCGAATAGTACTTACAGCTGGATGGTGTAATTATTTGTGAATTTTCTTAATTCGCTCTATATTTTTACAGTTTTAAAAACATACTTAGGACTATTTAAGTATTGTTGTTCTCAGGGATAGTGCAGACACGCGTCCCCGTTGATGTTTGCAGACCCCACATGCCGGCTCAGATTTGCTCAGGACCTAAAACTGCCCGAAAAAATAAAGTCTACTTTGGAAAAAAGGAATTGGCATGAAACACTGTGAAATTCTGAAGCGACTGCCAAGCTCTCCTATTACAAAAAAAAAATGTATTTCATGTTCAGATAATAAAAATCTTTGCAATCATGACAGTTAAAACGCAAAATGTTGCCCTTAAACAATGAAAGGATTCTTGGATTGAGTGTAAGCGAAGGGCATCTGAGGGCTTCTTGCTCGAGGCATACAAAAATTTATTTTATGTTGCTTTTATAGGAAGGCTGTTTCTTATTGAAATATTTGCTATGGCTGTTAGAGGTGAAAAATATTAGTTATTTGTTTTTTCCCCACCAAAAAAAAAAAAAAAAAACAAACCACCCGCAAACCTCTATAAGTCAACAAAGACGGTGGCCCATTTTGTGCTTCACAAGTAGATCAGCAAAAATCAACTTCAAGTTCTTGTGGCCAGTGGATGTAAGGACATTTTTTTATCCACACGGATTCAGCCCTAGTGCCACTAAGCCTTCTGCTCCTTGAAATGAAACCGTGTTTAGAGTGTTCTACAGGGTTTTTTTTTAAAGATCCTTTCTATGTAATAAAGAAGACTCCTCAATGACTGCCCCGTGGCCCCTCATGTCACGGCACTCGGTTCGCGAGGCTGTTGTAGCCCCCTGTCCTGCCTGGGGGTCATTAAGACACCCCCTGCTCATCACTTGGTCCAGGGCAAAAGCCTCCCACTCAGTGAGGTCTTCCCAGAGCTCTCCACTGAAGCCAATGCCCCCCACCCCCAGCATCCCTTCACGGCACGTGAGCCTGGCCACGAAGACCTCTCACTCACTGGCTTCTTGTCTGTTGTCCCTCTGTCCTCCTGGAGGCTCAGACCCAGTCGGCCCGCTGCTGGAACACCACTGGACCCAGGGGATGGCGGCCAGCAGCTGCCGTGGGGACAGCAATGTGGGAGAGGTCGCCGTCCCAATCCGTCCCTGAGTTTGCCTTGCACTTTTATGCATTCGTCTCCTTGGACACCTGTCAGCTGGGGGGAGACAAGGAACCGGGACCCAAATGAGCAGGATTTGTGTTTTTTATATATAATAGAAAATTCTGTCTCAATGCTGGTGATAGGGAAAAGTGGCCACACCTGCTGCATAGACTTTTCCAGATAAACTCTTTCATTATAAAAACTGCACCTTTGGAAACAAGAAGCAGGAAGAGTGAGTCAGGAAGTCCCCATGAGCCCACCACCCCAGTGCAGGTGCTTTTGTCCCATGATGGTGTTTCTTGCCAGTCCTGTCTGATGCATTGTTTCTATTGTGTTTACTGCATACTGTCGGCATGGAGGAGCTGCTCACCCCACATACCTCATATGTAGTTGTAAAGACTGCCTAGGCACATAACACTTATTAAGAAGTCTACACCGTAAGTTCAACTGTGGTCGTAGCAAGCTGTTGGCAGGAGGGCTTGGGCATTCCTTGTGTCCACAGCAGACCTGTGTCAGCGCCGTTCCTAACTGGACCGGGTCTTCAGCTGGTCCTTGAGGATGTAGGGTCATGGAGAAGCAGGCTCCACCTTTCACTGACCGTGTTGTTTAGCCACAGAAGCTTCTGCATCTGAAACCTACTTCAAGCTTTAGTTGCGCGTCCAGTAGAAACTTGCACAATGAAGGAAATGTCCTCTAATTCTGCACTCTCTGTGTGGTAGCCCACTAGCTCCACGTGGCTCCTGAGCACTGGAAATGCGGCTAGTCTGACCGAAGAGCTCCGTGTTCAAGTTGATTTCATTTTAATTAAATGTAAATGGCCACACGTGGCTCATGGCCACGGGGATGGCACACGGATGTGAACTAAACAAGAGGGTCATTCATTCATCTTCACTCACGACGTCATCTGCGTTTTTAACAGACTCTCGCTGAGTGCTCATTACATGCCACGTAGGAATTTGGCATCTCTGCATCCCCGTCGGGTCATTTCTGGCGACCCCGCTGTTGATGTTTGCTTAATAACTTTAGATTTCCTTGTACGTGCAAGTCAGACCCCTCTGCAGAGTGGGTGAGGGGCAGTGTGTGAGGGTGGGGGTGGATTGCATTAGGTGGATGCTAGTCCCAGCTGCCCGTGGGGTGGGCCTGCTATGGCCAGGCCACCGTTGCTCTTACTTGGGAAATGGGGGACAGTGATGAGCCCCGGCGTGCCTCATCTGGACCTACACTAGAGGACCAGATATCCGAAACACAGGATTGCAGCTCAGGTTCATAATTCCCTGCTGATTGCTTGCCTAAGATCACCATGGAGGAACTACCATCGGTGAGGCTCTTTGTCCAGCGTTCTGTCCTCCATTAGATCCTTGGCTCTGTTGCTTTAGGCACAAGGGGAGACTGAAGGCAAACCAGACACGTTTTGAATCCACTATGAAGCTATTTGAATCCAGGATGGTGATATCGATCCAACGGTTCCTCACCGGTATCTGCTCCATGCCAGACTCTGGACTAAGATCCGAGAATGCAGACATGAACACCCATCAAAAGTTTGATTCTTGTCTCATGATCTAATCCCTCTGTTTATCAGAAATCCACCTTCCCATGCACGAATCAGTGCACAATGAAGGTTTTACATGATCTGAATGCCAAGATACTACTGGGCAATAGAAGAAAGCTTAGATTTTTGTGCTTACGGAAGCATAGAAAGCGAAGCAAATGGGAATCCACTCGTAATCCAGCATTTCCAATTTGTTCTGGGCACCCTGCCCTCTGGAAAGCCCCTTGGGTCTGTTACCATGAGAAGTGCCACAAAGAACACCCAGCCCAGCCCTCTGTGGTCGCACGTCCAGTGCAGGAGATGACAGATGGGACACAAGAAATTTAATCTTGAAAATGAGAAGGATGAGGCATGTAATCAACCAATGCATCTAATGGCTTCTTTTTGCTTTCTTTCTCTCTTCCAGGGCTTATCACTGACTATAGGGTAAGTGGGAGAATGCTCTGGCCGAGTCCAGGTCTCAGGTAATGGAAAATGTGAATGCAGTGCTGGGTGCTGTCATGGGCTGTCACTCCTGCTGTCCCTGTCCCCCCGCCCCCTTCTGCTCAGGATCAGAGTCACGCTAGAGGACATGATCTCACTGGGTCCTAACTAGCAAAGCAAGCCCGGCAGCGGACAGCTCGGCTCAGCCCCCCAACTCCAGGTCCGGGTTAGGAGGAAATGATCTTGCCTGCCCCCTCGGAAGGAGGCAGGAACTTCTGTGCTCAGCTTCCTCTGTGAGGATGGGCACTATCCTTAGAGCACACGGCCCCTCCATTCTGCGCTGTTGCTGAGCTCCCCGGGCTGGCCCCCCTGAGGGCAGGGGGGGAGAACAGGGTCAGAGACCACAGCGGCGGTCTGATGGCCAGCCTCCTTTCCCGGCTGGGAACCGTATGCTGCGCTGAGCTTCTCACAGATGAGCGCAGCCCCCTTCCTCCCTCCTGGACCCCCAGGCTACTGAGGGAGACAGGGCACAGATGGTCCCACACGCCAGGATCACCATTCCACACACCGCTGGGAGCTGCCGTTCTGAGACGGATCTCAAAATTCCGCTCCTTTCTGATGGCTCTTTCTGGCCCAAGGGAAAACGTTCCAAGTCCTCAGCTAGTCCTCGGTAGTTCAGCTTCTCCTTATGCCATTTCGAATACCTTGTGGTAATGAAGTCCCAGGCATTAAGTGGCAGCAGCTTATGGATTGTATGTCACATGTGGACAGTTTTCAGTGGGTCCACCTGCTGATTTTGAAGACCCTCACGGATGTCCACCTGGCTCAGGAGGTCCTCCTGGATAATTGGGTGTTCTGTGCTGCTGAGCCCCCGAAAAAGAGCCAGGGAAAGGCACATAGAGCATTCTCAGCGGATTGAGCCCCTGAACAAGAGCCAGGGAAAGGCACATAGAGCATTCTCAGCCGATATTTCAGACAGACGAAATTTATGGAGGATCAAATTAGAAGGATGGGGGAAATTATTTTGGAGCCGAGAGTCTTCTAAAAACTGATGCACATAAATTAGCCCTTAGGATACCATCTCCATGAAGTAGGAAAGGTTACATGGGGCAAACACAGGGCAGTCCCACCAGGAAAGAACACGCAAGTCAGTGGGAGCCTGTGTCTGGGCTCCCAGCCGTGCAAAGGGCCTGGGGCACCAGTCTTGCACTATGAGTGTTGTTCCTTCCATCCCCTCATCACAGGCACAAGTGTCACCTGCCTCCCACCTGACCCTCTCCCTGTGCCATAGCCCTACAGGGCCCCTGACCAATTTTACTGCTACCCTAGGTGGGACGTCTTTCCTTTTCAATGTATTTATAGACACCTTTGGAGCTATTTTATGGTTTCTTCCTTTAGAGTGAATTCTGGGCAAATGCCCTGGGTCCCAGGCTCTTCCTTGATGAGGGAGTGCTGGGCTCAGCAGACAAAGAAAAAGAATATCATAGACATCATCATCATTTTGTTCAAAGACGTTGGAAGCCCCAGCCTGAGGTGGTCGCAGCCTCCAGGCTGCAGGGGAGACCCTGGGATTCTGGGCCATCTACCAGGCTTGTTTGGGAAGTATGGGATGAAAGGGGTGAGCAGCCCTTTGTCAGGACTGTCAGCCCTCAAGGGATGGGGGCATTAGGACAGTCTCAGCACCAAGGGGAGGGGGCTGGGAACACCTTGGCCAAGGGATTTTACACCGTGTCTGCTAGTGAATGGCATGAGCCGAAGATGGAAAAGTAGTGTCATTTGCCTACAATGTACCTGGTCTTGGGCAAAGTGGGCATCACTATACCCATTTCACAGACTTGGAGACAGAGGTTCAGAGAAGTCAAAGATTTTGCTGAACCTAGCTAAAAGAGAACCAAGAACTTAGGTCAAAAGCTCCCCGTCTGAGCCTCACAATCCCCATGCCACTTGGGTGGGGAAAGTACATTTTCTGGTCCCTTTTAGTGGCTTATCAAGAGTGGGACAACTGAAGATAGGGTTTTAAAAATTTCAATTGTGGAGGGAAAAGTACCTGGAAATAGCTCCTTTGGTGTCCAAGAAACCTCGAATTGGTTTCTACCTGCAGAATCATTTTAGGTGACCCGTGTACAAGGCTGGAATGGATTTTCCTCCTGACTATATAAGCACAGTGGTCAGTAATAGTCCCTAAAACAGTATAGGATGGCCTCTCTGAGCTGGGTGTGGAGCTGGGAATACAATGGCAAACAGCACAGAGTCCTGTCCCCTCTGAACTTCCAGGCTGAGTGCACAGGGAATTTCTGCTCTGGGAGCGTCTACCCCAGTCCTGCCCCAGGCTCAGAACAGGTCATGACAGCATTTTAGGGCCATATTCAAATGAGCACTCCATTAAACTGTGTGCATTTTTACTCCGGGACCGTAGAAATGAAGTTTACCCTGCTTATTCGTCCCAGTGTTAGATATAAATCACATTTTGATGTCCCAGACATCGACTTGGCGAGGAATGATTTTGGAATGCAGCCTCCATGCGCAACAATGACAGGAAACCATCGCTTACTGCTTACCAGTTAGTTAGTGGGGATGGTAAAGAATCCTCTTTTTGATTTTCCAAAAAGGCAAGTTAGTTCCATTTTTACTGAAGATCCCCCAACAGCTTGCAGATGCACTGCTAAATAAGATGGTGTGTGTCAGCAGGTGATTCTGAGGCAGTGTACGTTTCTCCCCAGCCTCTGTACACCTGCTCTTCTCCCTTAAGACTCTGGCTTCACAGTGCTAAGAAGATAAAGTGATAGGATGTGTGAGCCCACTGAGCACCGTGCCTGGCACGCACACAGTGGCACTATGTTGGATGGCTTTGAGTGTAAATATCGGGCCCCCTTTTCTCTTTCCAACTTGAGAGCCTTCCACGAAACCCTTGCCGGGAGCCCCAGGTTCAGAAGCAGCATGCCATGAGTGTGCCCAGCACACAGTTTAAAACCCGAGCTGCCCGCCGTGCTATGGAGCAGCGCTGCCCCGAGAGCCCCCCCTGTGCCCATCACAGATGCCCTGGGGGAGGGTCCAGGCTGTGTCCTCCTTCCCCTGCAGCCCTGCATTCCCCAGGCCCTTCTGGAAGTGCTGCCCTGCAAGGAAGGTCCAGGGAACAGAGAGGGAGACTGAGTCGCCCTCAGCATCTTCTTTGTAAGTGCCAGAACGTGACTATTTGGAAGGCCACAATGAAGTGCCCCTGCTTTATCATCCTAGATGGCCCCCTTGCCCTTCCTCCGCTCTGGGTCCCTTCTTACTTACGTGTCCAGCCACTGGAGATGGTAGAATTCTGGCCAGCTGCAAACTGAAGACAAGCTAAGGGGAGATTATTTGAGGACCAACCTGTTGGGGTTGCATTTTCTAGTGACCGTCTTGCAGGTCATAGTGTGGTGGCTGGTGGACAGGAAGAGAATCGCTCTTGCTCTGGCAAAGGGTGCCAGGACATCACAGGGAATACACTGAGCAGGAAGTGTGGGTTTTGGCTTCCTCCTTCCTAACCTCCCACAGATGGAGCGACCAGTGAGCGAGCCCCCCCCCCCCCGCTCATGCCCCTGCTGGATGGTGAGCTCCATGTGCTCAGTGCACACGGTGCCTCCCCAGTAGCAGCCTGTTGCATCCTCATCTGTCTCGGAGCTTTGCAAAGAGAGCCTCTGGCTGCAGGCTCTGCTCACCCCACGTCGGCTTTGCAGTCCACAGTGGGGCATGGTGCCAGCCAGGGGACGGACATCCAGGGAATTAGCTGCCTCCAAGAGAAGCAGGTGCCCCGGGAGCCAGAGGAAAGCAGCTCTCGGCACTTTGCGTCCTGATGCAGAGTTTTCTGTTCTGTTTCAGCACTGGCAGCTGCCACTGGGCCGGAGATTTCGCTCTTTGAAGATGTGGTTTGTTTTTAGGATGTACGGAGTCAAGGGACTGCAGGCCTACATCCGCAAGGTGACGGTGCTTTCATTACGTATCTGGGTAATTAATATCGGGAGGCCTGTAGGAGTTTAGAAACGAAGGAAGATGTCTGAAGCAGCAAATATCTGATGCAGGTTGGTTTGGGTACTGAGGTTAGGCTTTTTATTTCTATTATTTATTTATTTATTTTTTAAGGTTTTTATTTATTTGTCAGAGAGAGAGAGAGAACACAAGCAAGGGGGAGTAGCATGCAGAGGGAGAAGCAGGCTTCCCGCGGAGCAGGGAGCCCGATGCGGGACTTGATCCCAGGACCCCGGGATCACGACCCGAGCCGAAGGTGGACACTTAACTGACTGAGCCCCCCAGGCGTCCCGAGGTTAGGCTTTTTAGAAGACAGTGCAGAATTACAGACCTTCTGGACACTTCCATGATGACTATGGCCGTCAGGTCCGGGAGACTGCAACGTGAACCCTCCCCACCGCCGGTCCTGTAGCGACATCTCAGCTGCAGCCGGTCCGGACAACAGTGGTGGAGAAGTGCAGAGAGCACAGGATGTTTGGCTCCAAGGACTGCCGGCACGGGAGAGTCTCGGAGCTGCTGGGGATGGATAGCCTCTGTGAGCCCCCGAGTAGCAACCCACGCATGGCCTTGGACCCTCGGGGTGGGTCCCAGCAACCTCTGCCTGAATGAGTGAACCAGGCAGCCGTGATGAGCGCTACAAAGTGGGAACCACTGGTCAACCTCAAGCCCCATCACCCTGCCTTTTATTTTTATTTTATACAGTTGAGGAAACTGAGGCTAGAGTATGTGCTGGGACCCCCCCCCCCCACCGCCCAGAGCCCACCCATTTAGCTGGCTGCAGAAGGCTGCTGATTTCCAGCTGGTTCCTCCCATACTGGTGTCCCTTCCTCAGCCATGGCCCCATCTTGATGGACAGAGGTCCGTAGGCTTCATGGGAGCAGGGAACCTGTGGTCTCTGTGGGGTAAGGAACTAGGCAGGAATGTGTATGTGAGGTTTTGAGAACATGTTCTCAAATAGAATGAGGATTCAGCTGCTTTGGGGAAGGAAGAGAAGTGGTTTCTCTCGCCAGTTGATTCCAGCTTTAAGCTCAGGGGTACTGGGTGTGATTAGGCTGCTTCCTGTAAAAACACTCCATGCCTGCCTCTCAGCGGGCTCCGGTCCGGCCTTACAGGGAGGGAGGGGATGATCAAAGCCCGTCCCTAGGCCGGGGTAGCTCCTCCGGACCCAGCGGCGGCGGTGGGCCGCACCTGCCAGCACTAAGTCTTTGGTGCCCTCTAGTGGCCCCACATTTATTCTCTACCTGGGAGCTGCACAGACGAAGGAGGCTTCAGTCCCAGGGACATTCAGCCGCTGTGCTTCAGCTGAGTCCCTGAGCACTGTCGTGAGAGCACCAAGCTGCGCACCTGGTGGGGGCAGGGAATGAGCAACAGGTGCACAGATCGTGGCGGGCTTGTTCTCAGTTCACATACTATTTGAATCCCCTTTGGGGCTCCATGAACACCTGGGCGTCAAATATGGGGGTGAATTCAGCAAGAGGAAGGCATTTGTTGAACGTGGCTGGGACTGTCATTCTCATCTCTTGGTGACAAGTGCTGTAGGGTGACAGCTAGCCAGAGCACCGCAGAAACTGGAGCTTTGGTGGGCCTCTGCGTTAGAATCACCCCCTTAGTTTCCTTATCTGCAGAGTGGGCACAACCGTGGTGTTGCCTGTGCCGTGGGCGGCCTGGGGACAGAGTGGTGGCAGGGCACCTGGCCCTCAGCACAAGGGGCTGCTCAGCAGGGGCTGGCCCCTATCTCTTCACTCAAATGCTTAAATACCTCTTCACGGTGTTCCTTCTGAAATTCTAACGGATTGTGTTGGTGGAATTAAGAGTCCCCTGAACAGAAGAAAATGTTAGTTGGTGTTTTTCTTTCTTGTTTTTTTATTTTAAAGATTATTTATTTGTTTATTTGAGAGAGAGAGAGAGAGATTGAGAGAATGAATGGCAGGAGGGGCAGAGGGAGAAACAGACTCTAGCTGAGCAGGGAGCCCGACGCAGGACTCGATCCCAGGACCCTGGGACCATGACTCGAGCCGAAGGCAGACGCATCACCGACTGAGCCACCCAGGTGCCCAGTTGGTGTTCTTCTGGAGACACTAGTCCTTCTGTCATGGTAGTGAGCTTCTTCCTAGCCTGTGTGGGAACAGCTAGCATGTGGGTGGCATCCACGCTTGAGGAAAACGGCTAAGAGCATGTACATGAATCACAGACGTGCCGTCGGGGAAGGTTTTCTAGGTGGCTGAGTCCAGAGCTGGGCGGTGTTGAGAAACTCAGACAGATGCTCTTCCCTTTCCAGCATGTCCGGCTGGCTCACGAGTTTGAGCATTTGGTGCACCAGGATCCCCGCTTTGAAATCTGTGCAGAAGTCACTCTGGGGCTGGTCTGTTTTCGGCTAAAGGTATGTGTGTCTACTTTAGTCTTCGTTCTCTTTGACGGTGACAGAGGAGAGAGGATCATTCATCACCTCCATCTCCAAACCGGCATGCTAGCTCCCTGGAGACCACAGAAGTCAGCATGCATTTTCCCATCTGGAGTTCACGCCTCCTGGCCCTGACCCAGCCTGACTGCCCACAGGGCCCTGGGCACCGTCCTCCAGGAGCCGTCCGCCCCTCCTCAATCAGACTGAGACTTCTTGCTTGTGTAGATGCTTGGCCCCAGAATCCTCTCCACTTTCTCCATCCACACATCTCTGCTGCTGGAATGCTCTGAGCACTAAGCTGGGCACAGGCTCTTCCCTGGACCAGCTCCGGACCCCAGCCCAGACCTGCGGATCCTGGCATCTTAAGGAGCCCCTCCAGGTTGCTGGGTGTGCACGGGGCTTTGAGAAATGCTGGTCTGCAGCGCTCTGTTGTTCTGCTGCCTGAGGATGAGTGTGTTTACTGTGTGAGGGGAAGCTGGCCCAGAGGGCGGAGGGCACAAGCCATCTCTGCTGGGAATCATGACCACGTTTCTGAAAAGTCTCTGAAAGGTGCTGCACCCACAGGCACCTTATTATTCTATTTTGTGTGAGTGAGACCAGGTGGCAGCCTCCCACTGACCACTCTGGAGCTGGCTATGCATTTTGCAATCTACCTTTTCTTTTCCATTGGCTTCCTTGTTTGCATGCCCGGAGGCCATCAGGAGGAAGAGGGCTGAGCCCCGCTGCATTGTCAAGGTGCTGTCATCAAGATGTGGCCCTCCGCTTACCATATCCTTCCCCTCCCTGATTCATGGAGCTTCAAGGTGGTAATGAGAACCAGTCACGAGAAAGCCTGGACTCTACAGAGATAGTGGGGTGCTGGTGGGCCTGTGCTGGGCTCGGTGAGGGGTGCTGTGAGCTCTGTGCAGAGTGCACAGTGGTGGGACCCGACCGTGTGCAAGGGACAGGGGGCCCTTCTGTCCTGGCAGGATGTGGGGGAAGCCTCAGGGCACTGGTGTCCCAGCTGGGTCCCCAGAGTGGCCACGGGCTGCAGTTCGGTTGGCATCCGTGTGGACGGCATCCTCTGATGCGTTTGCCATGGAGGGCAGACCTTATGTTTTGTTTTGACTGCCAGTGTTCTGATAGGACTTTTATTTTATTTTTTTAATTTTCAGTTTTATTGGGATGTAATCCATACACCACACACTTTGTCCATTTAAAGTACAGTTAGGGGGTGAGCGGCACTGACCCTCCTGCCCCCCAAAGCTGAAAATCTGCGTACAATGTTTGACTCCCCCCAGACTGAACTTCTAACAGCCTACTGTTGACCAGAAGCCTCACCCATAACACAGTGGTGGGAGATCACATATTTTGTATGTTCTGTGGATCATATGCTGCGTTCTTAGCATAAAGCGAGCCAGAGAAGAGAAAATGTTAGGAAGGAAACCACGAAGAAGAGAAAATACATTTGCTGTGTCGCGTGGGATTTCTTGAAAAAAGTCCACGTGTCAGCGTGGGGTCTGCAAGGGTCTGCTGCACACGTGTTGATTTTAGCACAAGCGCTGGGTCGGGCAGCCATCACCTCCCCAGGGCGGGAGCCCCAATGCCACCCTTC